ACAAAAAAGGGTTGGCACTTAGGTACTAGCCGAAAGGTGGGTGGTTCAAACCCACCAGGTAGCAACGAGGAAGAAAGACGTGGAAATTCTCTTCTCTGAAGATTACACACAAGAAAGAAGCATAGAGCCGTTCTCCCCTGCAACACACAGGTCACTGTGCAGGGGACCAGCAGGACAATGGGTTTCACTTTGCTTTGGCTTGGCTTTTGCTGCAGGTTTAGAAAGGGATTCGAGGTTAAACTAATTGGGCTCCCAGGGTGCTGGCTGCTGCCAAAATTCAGATGATGCCAAAATTCAGATGGGGATTAATTTTAAGAACCCTAAGGAGTCTGTTTCTTCCCTTCCTTAGAAGAAGTGGAAGGGCTTGTATTCCTGGGGCACTTGGAGAGTCCCAACAGGAGGAGGAAGAGGACCCAGGAGCCTGAAGGCAAGTCCCTTCAGCTGGGCACACTGCAAAAGACTGCGAGCTGTGGTGGCCCCACGTCCAACCAAGCTCACTGCTGCCCTACCTGGGCCAGCCTGAGACCAGGTACAGGCCAGTCCACGTTCATTCAGACAGTTTTCCCTGGCATGTTTTCAGAATCTGATTGCCAAGGCTTTCTTCCTAGTCTGGGTTAGTCTGGAAGCTCTGCTGAAACTCGTTCAGCATGACAGCAGTAAGCAGGCCTCCAGTCACAGATGGGAGGTGGCTGTGCATGAGCTGTGTTGGCTGGGAATCAAGCCCAGGTCTCTCGAATGGATGGTGAGAATTCCACCACTGAACTACCAAGAGTACCTACACTTGTTTAAAAAACAAACAGGCAGACAGACAAATAAAAACCTGTAACCACTGAGGAGAGGCCGGCTGATGGCAACTCCGTAGGCGAAAGAGTAGAACTATAGGGTTTTCTTGGCTCTACTTTTAATGAACGCTGGTCGCTTGCCCCTCCTTTGAAGGAGCTGGGTGGGAGCAAGCCACCAGGATTTAAAACGGGAGGTGATGCCCACTCTGCTGTCAGGCTGCCTCCAGGAAGGTGAGGGCGATTAAAATGCAGGACAGTCATACGATTCAGGCTCTCGAGAAGTGTGTACGCTGATTGAAGAGGGAAGCAATGCAAACTGTGACAGCTGGTGTGCGATGGTAGCATCTTGAGGCATCTTCTTTTTAAAGGCACACTTTATAATCCACTCACGACCTTTCCATCCCCACAGCAGACAAGATGTCTACAACAAGAATGATAAAGGAAGTCGGAGTCAGCCCTGAGTCTCCAGCTTGACTCAGACACAGGTGAGTGTGTGACACGAGAGACTTCGACTCTCTGAACCCCTGACACGTGTGCACAGTGATAATAAGATCTGCCTCACACAATGTTTTCAAGTTCTTACTGCAGCACCCGGCATGTAGAAGATCAAAACACAACCAGGCTCACTGGCATCCAGTCGATTCTGACTCACCAAGACCCTAGGACAGAGTAAAACTGCCCCTGTGGGTTTCCAAGATGATCGACCTTTAAGAGAGCAGACAGCCTCATCTTCCTCCTTTGGAGATGCTGGTGAGCTTGAACCGCTGACCTTTGACTAACAGTTTAACATCTAAGTCACTGCGCTACCAGGGTGTTGCTGTTCTAGGGTGTGATGCTAAATCTGACGTTAAAGAAGGGCCCCTGTTTTCAATCCAGTTATGGTGAAGTTACTTAACAGCGCAGATGAAAGGACACGTGAAGCGACCGTCTTCCATGTCTCTCGAGATGGTCATCTCGCCATCGGAATTACTTCACGTTAAATAAATACGTAACTAGATACCCACAACCTATCACCTGGAAAGGAATGACACTGGAGCTACTAGTGCAGTCTCCACATGTATAATCTCAGTTCTGGCTCAAAGAAATTTCGTGCTTGTTTGCTAAAGCAGATGTTTGTTGGCATCACATGACACCCCTTGCCCTCTACTGAGAACATTATGTCCTGAGACAGGAACCAGCAGCTTTTTAGGAATACACATCTTTAGGGGAGCATGGTGCAGAGAGTGTATCCCACAAATCATCAGAGTGGGAAGAACACAATATTTGTGTTCCTGCAGCTCTAAGCCTTGCTAAGTGCTCCCAGCAGGAGTCAGGAGACAGGTGGGGGTGGGAGAAACATCAAGGAGAGAGGGCGAGAGCCAAGGCTTGCTGTTGCTACAGAGAAATGCCAAGTCACAAGCGGAGAGGCACATCCAGGATCAATGAAGCGATGGCCATCCGGGACCATGGCAATGTTCTTCACCCAAACCCTCATTACAAAGCACACATTCCTGTGAGGTCTTCCGTATTCAGTGTCCAGCTGACTGGGGCAGAGGAAGCTGCTGCAAATAATGTGGCTTGAGTCTGGCACACCTTAGTCCTCAAAGTACCATCGTGGCTTTTTAAATACTTTCAAGAGGTCTTTTGCAGCAGATCTTCCCAGTGCACGATGCGATTAGATTTCTTGACTGCTGCCTCCTTGAGTGTACATTGTGGATCCAAATAATTTGAGATTAAATTGAGGCAACTTCAGTATTTTTCTTGTTAATCACGATGCTGCTTATCAGTAACAGCAGAATTATCATTTAGATTCCAACATCCTCCATCCCAAGGTGTGACTAAAACCCATATGACCGAACCAGAAAAAACGGGAGTAATACATATCCTCGGTAATATATATGCATTTTTGATTTTAGAAAATTTTGCTTTTCTATTTCACTATGTCATGCTGATTAAGCATTGAATACATGTCCTAGG